TTTACAGTCTTTATTTTAAAGTTAAAATATATGTTTATTAAATAAAGTCTAATCTTACAACTAATCATGGATCCCTTTTAAACATACAGTAGGTTGTTAAATATCTTGTAATTTGTATGTAATAAATTGTTACTGTGTTCAAACATGAATGAATCCTGGGTTTATTTTAAAACAACCACAATGAGGTTATTTCCTTTGCGCTGTTTTCTCTGCTTCAGGCTCTGGATTCTTTGAGCAAACTGCTGAAAGCCTTGAGTATCCTGGAGAAGTACGGCTGCAACCTGACCAGTCCCACCAGGCCCAGGTTCTGGAGGAGCGTCAAGCACAACAACCCTGTCTTCAGAACCACCGTGGACGCCATCAAGGTGAGGATAAGACCAACAGGGTGTAAGTTTAGCTTTGGATAGATTATATTTAGAACTAACATTTGATGCTTCAGTTCAGAAAAAAAAATCCGTGTCGGGGTTTTCCTCCACAGGGGGGTCGCCAGGTGTTGCATCTGTACGGTTACACCAGCCAGCAGATCGATGGCCTCAGTTTTCCCGAAAATGTCACCGAGCCGGAATCTGAAAAGGTGGCCGCGGTGACGCTGGAGGTGATGACGCTGCGCTCAGAGGTGGACATGCTGCTGAAGGTTGGTTTTAGCTGCTGAAGGTTGGTTTTAGCTGCTGAAGGTTGGTTTTAGCTGCTGAAGGTTGGTTTTAGCTGATGAAGGTTGGTTTTAGCTGATGAAGGTTGGTTTTAGCTGATGAATGTCTGCGTGCAGCTGTTCCTGTGCGAGCCATTAAGCACAGTCCATTTTCCTTTATTTCTGTACATTCAGGGCACCCATCCTCACCCCGAATTCTTCAAAGACATCATCCCATTTCTCATCCAGGTGTGTACACATTTCCACCAGCTGTATATTTAGGAAAAACATTTGTCGTCAAAAAAAAAACTGTTTTCGGTTGTAGAAAAAAAATATGTGGAATTTTTTTGTTGAGCCATAAATGACATAAATCTGGTTTTCTCACAGGTCACACATTATTATATATATATATTTTAATATTAAAACAACTACATTGCTTTTATAAGGGTTTATTTTTACATATAAAAGTCAAACGTAGATCATATAAAGTTAGCTGTTTAACAGTGTTAATGCAAACAAATGTAGCTTTCTACTTRTTTTAACTCTAAATTCTCATCTTGCCACATGGAAAGTTGTTTAGCTGTTTGTTTTTGTTTCCCTTTTCAGAACAAGTCATCTGACTCTATGGCAAATTTGCCTGCAGACAAGGGTCAGGGAGACAAAGCCCATGTTCCTCCTACGCCTTCACCTAAACCGGCTCCGATGCCGAGAACAAATCCTCCAAAACCTGCAACAGGTAAGTTGCTAACAAACTACAATAATGCATCAGCCAGTATTTAGAAATACTAGGAAGAGACAGTTTTTTAGCAGAAAATGCAACATTCAGTGTAAAGACTTGAAAACTGACTAGTCACTGTTCGAGTCAGAATACAAGCTGCTTCATTTTGAATGAGCTGTAACTGTTTCATGTTGGGAGAGCCCAGTTAGTTCACTATAATCCAGTCTACTGGATATAAATACATGAATAAATTTCTCCTGCTCATCGTTTTGGGGTTTAAACCCACTAAGTTATGATTAATCTCTTGCTAATTGTTTTTATGGGCTGRTGAACTTCTTGAAATGGGTGACGATTTGAATTTGTAATCAGTTAAGGTAAATATACACAGTAACGTTGACTTTTTCTTCTGCCTTCAGTTTCCCCATCAGTGAGCGTGTGTAGTCTGTGTGGTGGCGCTTCATCTTTTGTCTGTCCGACTTGTCCAAACCAACATTTCTGCGAYGCGTGTGACGACCTCTTCCACCGCCACCCGTCCAGAGCCGATCACAAGAGAGACAAAATACACAAACCCAAACAGGGTACAACACATAGCTCCAAAAATGTTTATTTTATGTTTTCTTTTGGTCCTGAGCTTGTCCACTCTCTGAATCTTCTGTGTTGTTTTAGAGACCTGCACCATCTGTGGCATTGCTGCTGTCCACGCTCAGTGCCCCACCTGCATCCAAAAGTTGTGTTTGAACTGCGACCGACTCTTCCACTCTCACCCCGACCGCAAAGGCCACAGCAGGACCGTTCTCACCCCGACAGGCGCTAAAGCCTCCAGGTGAGAAGAATAAAACTCGTCCGCAGTTGAGACTGGACCAGAGTTATAAAACCTGTTATTTTTCACTCCTCCTTTTTCCAGCCTGTCTCAGGCATCATGGGACTGCTCTCACTGCACTACGGTGAACGAGATGCGAGCTGTTCTCTGCACGACTTGTGAGCGTCCTCGACTCGCCACGGCTGCATCCACAGTCCCAGAGTTGGTTCCCACGTCACCAAATTCAGGTCAGAGTTCCTGRAACTGAGTTTTAACACCGTCTAAAAATAACTGCTATGTGTGGAAAATGAAACAAACTAAAGTGTTTTTAAAAACAGATTTAAGTGTGCACAGATGTGTTTTTTAATGCATTGAAAACAGTTTTTTTTTTTTGTGTGTGTGATTATTCACTGAGCTGTGTGCTTTAACCCATCAGAGTGGCAGTGCAAGAGCTGCACGGTGTTGAATCAGGGCAGCAGCATCCTCTGCAAGGTCTGTGAGCGCCCCCGCCTGGCCACTCGCCCACCTGTAGCCTCCAGTCCAGGATCTGTGTCGGACTCTGGAGAAAAGGTCCGTCTCACCACTCATAATAAAACTTCATCTTCTCAGTATTTACCAAATATTCTTGATKAATGAAAGACTGAACTGAAAATGGTTATTTTTTTTATTGTAGTGTTCAGTTTGGAGAAAATTCTCCCACTGGCATCTTAAAACAAAGTAATTCTTATTCTGTCAGGGAAGATATTCTGCATGTCTGKAGCAACACAAAACAAAGTAATCATACATAGAACTTAATTAAACCAATACAATTATAAAAACGTGCTGTTTTGAAGTTACTTTTGKATCATATTTTGTTGCAAAACAAATGAGAAGGTCACGCATAAAGGATACAGAAACAGAATTATTAAATTTTCTAGTGACTGAGGAGGAAAATGTTTCTTGTCTGATTCACCCTGAGGTAGTTCCTCATTAGTGTGTCCAACCTTTCTACATGTAGTCAAGAAAACCCTTTTATGTTATGGTTTGAATCCTCTTTTTGATAGTTTTTGAAAATAATTTGTTTAGTTGGTCAAACTAAAACTCACAAAGGAGAAACCYAAAATCAGTAATTATTTAAGGAACTTGTGGTTTATGACGCTCACTGTAAATGTCACTAAAATTTAAACATCTCAGCATTTTAATCCATCCCTACTTTGACTGAGAGTCTCTGCCACAYATTCACAATTTAATTACTGGTCAAATTATATACATTATTATGGATGTAAAATAAGCTGTATGGTTATAGATAGATGAGCTATTATTTATTATGACTTTTCTTCTGGGCCCTCCACCTAGTCAGGCCARCCTGCTGAGATTAAGGAGAAAATGTCAGCTGGGTTGGTTTGGTCTGATTTTTCTGGAAGGAATGAAACAGTTTTTCTACCACTGAATAATGTTTTTTTTAAGTCAACCAGAGAAAATTTCTGTTTTTTGGAATTAAAGTCAAATCTTTTTTTTTAAACTGGAAAACCTCTTCAAGTGCTATTTTTTATTTAGAGCATCGACAGCCTCCACCTCGGGAACTATTCTGACATTTGTTGAGTTGATTTTAAAGCAGYAGTAACCAGAAGAGACAGAGAACAGCTTCTAAACTAAAATACCTGTTTTTGTTGGTTTTATAAAGGGACTTATTCAGAACCTCCAGAGCCTTTCACAAAGACTGACTCTAACCTTTAACTGAGTCCTTTTAAGCAAAACATAATTGTAAAGCTCATGTGATGAGAAGAATTTATAACTCTGCTTCTGGTTCATGCAGACGACAAACCACCAATGATTATTTTAGATAAAATAGTTTTATGGAGCATGAAAGCTTTTTTTAATCATTTTCAAACTATGCCAGTATTCTCAATATCTATCTATCTATCTATCTATCATCTATCTATCTATCTATCTATCTATCTATCTATCTATCTATCTATCTAT